ACAGACACTAACTGGTGGCTGGCCCAGCAGTCATTCCACTACAGAGGCTGGAATCGCTACACCCTCATTTTCCAGCCCCATGCCCAGCTAGTGAGAAAAATGTAACAGAGTTCTGGTCAATGCTATAACCAGAAGTCCACTAGAATGGTTCCAAGTTTACCCTTTCCTTATGAGACAAAAGCTTACTTTTTCCTGGTTGGGGCGCCCGTTTTTTCTGCTTCTTGCCTTCAATAAGGATATATTTGGAACTTCAATAGCTGTTTGCAACCATCAGGCATAAGCATGAGAGGAAAGCGAACACTCAAGACACCTTGACATCATCTAGTGGCTAAATCAGTTTGACCAGCTACCCACCTCTAGACCTTCTCTATGTGAGAATAAACCCCTTATGTACTGTGTAAAGGTTTTCTATTACTTGTACTCAAAAGCATTCCTATTGATAATCTATTTTTAAGGTGGTGCTTATGAGGACAGCTCCCCTTTACACCTTTTCCTCCTTTGAACTTTACTGATAAATTTTTTTTTTTTAAGATTTTATTAATTTGAGAGAGCGAGAGAGATAGCGAGAGAGCATGAGTCGGGGGGAGGTGGAGGGGAAGAGGGAGAAGCAGGCTCCCTGCTGAGCAGGGAGCCCAGTGCTGGGCTCCATCCCAGGACCCCAGGATTAAGACCTGAGCTGCAGGCAGACGCTTAACCGAATGAGCCACCCAAGTGCCCCATGAACTTTACTGATAAACTTCTGATGATACTATGAAAATTAATAAAGGGAAGTCTCATTTGAAATGTAGTCGGCAAGCCCTCTAGGGGGACCTGTCACTCATGAACTTTCCATCTAGCTTACCCCACACTAATGGACTGGAAGAAGTTCACATTACTATCCCAGCAGAAAGAAGGTTTTCTCCTTGCCCGGCAACCAACCAGCCAAGGAGAAACTGCCACAACCTCAGCCAATGAGGAACCACCAACACCCTGAACTCTTCACTTTCCTCCAAGAGTCTTTTGTTCCAAGCAGCCCCTCCCAACCTCCTCCTTTTTCTTCTCCTTTGTTCTCCAGACTGGCTTATGGTTTGCCACAGCCTGCCTGTCCCGAATTGCAATTCCTCCGTTCCCAAATAGACTCATTTGGCTGGTAAAATAATGGGCTCTTTTGTTTTTTAAGGTCAATGGTCAGTTACCACTGTCTACCATTAATGGAAGGCTCATTTTAATTTGCAGCTCTCACCGCAAAGCTTAGTGTACAAGAGGCATAATACTCAAATATTTAATGAAGAAAGAAGAAATTCTGATAATTTGGTAAGCATTTGGGCATTATTTTTGCTTTTTCTCATATTTTACATTATTTTTAACCTATAAGAGGAGAAATGGCTGATAAAAAATACCTCTGAATACAATCTCCTCTTACTTTTTAACAAATAATTATAAACATATACTGCATAGTTACTGTGCTAAGCACTAGGGATACAGATCGAAAACAGAATTTCTGCTTTCAAGGAATGAATGGCAGACACAAGTAAACCTACAATGACAATAATGTTTGATATATGTAATAATAAATCTGAGAGCACAGTGCTTCCTCAACATCCACTTATTTTCCACTTTATCCAGAAACTGGCTGTCAGGCATGGCATGAATCACCTCAACCTCCCATCCTTTCCCATCTTCACCTCCTTCACCCACTGATGAAAAAGTGTCCCTCCTCCTGTCCCAAGACCAGCTGTGCTCTCAGGCACAGCACTTCTCACCTCTTGTGGGGTCTTGCTCTAGCAGTTGTCCAAACTCCCCTATCATGTTAACCAGAGTTCCTGGGGTGGCGGGTTGGTTTACACTGACTGCGGCTGTTCACTTCTTTCTGATTCACTTCTCAACGCCCATAATCCAGGTTCTGCCTTAACCACCTCACTAACACTGCTCTGGTAAAGGTCCCTAGAGATCTCCGTACTGCCGACACCAGGGACCACACTTCCATCTTCATTTATTGGACCTCGCTAAAGCAAGTGCCCCTGACCATAACCACTTTCTCAGAACACGGGACTATCTGGACTTCTGTGATACTACTCTCATTGCTTGTTCTCTTCTCGTTTTTAGACACGACGGTGTTACCCAAGTGTGGGCCTGGGGCCAGTGGGGGGTCTGAGACCTTTCAGGGGATCCATCAGGAAAACTGTTTTCACAATACCAAGAAGACATCTGCCCGTTACTCTCATTTTCTTATGGGTGTACAGTGGAATTTCCCAGAGGCTAAATGACATGTGATATAGCAACAGGCCGTAGGCAGACACAAATATAAGAATCTACCCTTCTTTTATTAAGACAAACATTAAAGAGATTTGCAAAAATGTCGAACAATGTCACTCTTGTCACTAATTTAATGGTTACTTTTCATAAAAATGTTATTTATGTTAGTATGTAATGGCTTTATTGGCTGCCTGTCAGCTAAGAATAAAGTCCAAGTTTCTTAGCATGGTGCCTAGGCCCCTTAGTATGTGGTCTTTTTCACCCTCAGTCTCATCCTCTGTCACCCTTGAATCACACTTAACTCTCCAGCAATTAAATAATCTTCTACTGTTTGTTGTTCTTGGAGTGTACTATGCTGCTTCACGCCTTTGACCCAATGTCATCTTCTGGGAAGTGTTCTTGATTCCACCCCCGTGCATGCCCATCACAGCACTCAACAGTTTGTGAAAATGGTTTCTATAACTGTCCCACAGAGGTTAAAAAAGCCATTGATGTAGGTGCTTTGCTGAACCCAAAGCTCTTATCTTTCTATCTCCAGGTTTTGGTACCACACAGGGCAGATTAGTCTTCAGACACATTTTTGGAAGCACTGAAGTAAAATGACACTTAGGAAAAGACCGGTTTGGATGGAGGTTGGGGTTGTGAATGAGGAGAATTAGGAAAACCTTTGTCCTGAGGTCATGATTGAACTGAATCTCAAAAGAGGATGAACTCAAGACAAGAGTGTTTAAAGGGCATTGCCCAATACAGAGAACTTCACAAGGGGGAAGGGGCTGTCTTTGAAATTCACAAGACATAGCCTTAATACAGAAGGAAATTATTTTTTAACAAGTTTATTATCTTAGAGATCATACTAGTGGGAATCTCAGGTTTTAGGTCCATGATTTCAAGAAAGTGTAAAATGATTACTAGATTCCTATAGTTAATACGTTTACACATGTATAATAAATTTAGTTCAAAAGCATTACTCGAAGTATAATTTGAACAATTATTTTCTAAATGTATATTACTTTACAGTGGCTCATACAGAAACTCATTTCCAATTTTCTGCTCACCAGGTACAATTTGAATGGTTTTTCTGCAGTTTACCCCTGTTGACTTGGCATTTATTCACTTGATAAAAATTTTGCCTCAAATGTGGATTTCAGCACCTGGCTCATAAATCATTTCCAAACGGATTTTTAGTAATGTAAGAGTCCTCAGAGATTACCTGGTCCAACAAGCTAATTTTGTAAGAAAGAAAATTGAACTACTAAGGTTGAGTGACTTGTTGAAGATGACATACTCTCTGAGGACTCCTCCTTGACTTTTCCATGATGTGCTTTCATATCTACCCTATCCTTCCCTGCAGTGTATGACCTGTGTGCTGATTCCCAGTTCTTGCTCATTCTCAGTAAATATAAATGACAAAATACCTTCTTCCAGACTGCAAATAACTGGTTTCCACTTATTCACTTGAATATTTTGTAGCTTTCTTCAACAGACTTGGTGAAGTTCTTGGTGCTAAGTACTTTGCTAATTTTTTGTTAAAATTCCACCAGTATCCCTAATGTTTACAAACTTTACCTTCCAAAGTCATTAAGTAAAATCATGCTCTCCCATGAAATGGTTCTTTAAACCATCTGACTGGTCTCACTGGTAGGACCCAGATGTTGTTCTCAAATTTAAAGGATGAATAACTTTTCTATGCAGGTATCTAAAAATTAGATAGTCACTGCTTGAGAGGTTTGGTATTCTGTCCCATAACCAATGTTGTAATGGGTCTACTTATCACAGGGCCTGCCAACTCATATACCCACTGGGAGGGTGGCGCCCATCTGACCAGACTCTCTCCTAGGACACTCTTAGGCTGGCCAGTCACCCAAAGTGAGACCTGGCATAAATATGGCTCGAACTCTGAGATGATCAGGTAGTTAGTAAGAAACACCAAATCTGGAAGGATGCAGAGAGAAAATCATTAAGATACATACAGTAACGATGGGTCAGAAGTTAAAAGGAAGCAAAAAAGAAAGCAGAGGCTGTGAGGTAGACGAAAGATATATGAAATGATTAAGGGACTCAGGAGCAAATATGAGAAAGGGGCATAGAGAAAGTTGTGTGCTACACTGAGGGATTTAAGTTTAGACTCTCATTCTGCTGCAAAGATGCTTTAAGCTGTATCCCCATCTGACGAGGCCAAGATAAACGTTTGGTATCCCCGAAGTTTGTGAGTTTTTTTCCTTTACAGCTCCTTGAATCTCCTTCTTACAAACCCTGTCCTCGCCTCACGCCCTCCTCAAAGCCAGTGCCCTAAGTAGAAAAGATTTGATTCTTGCAACCAAAAAAGCCAGTTAAGGCACCCAGGATATTAGAGAGGCTAGAGCGAAGCTTCAGCTTTCAGACATGTGTTACTGGCTGCTCACTTCCACTATCGACTCTTGCAATCCTAGGGGAAGTTCTAGGTATGCGACCAATGGGTCCTAGCTTGAGCACCTGCAGCTTCCACATCCACTCTTCTCATGGCAGAAACACACCAGGAACCACGCTCCCAGAGAACCACGCTATTCGACTTGGGGGAAAACATCACAGGACTTGAACCTCTTCTCCGATACAACGAAGGGCAAGCCCACCCTTGCTTTCCCCCCGAGGTTTCAGAGGGCCACGCTGGTCGACAGGGGTACGCTTTTCCGCGGCGGAGCCTGTGCATTCCCGTCCCGAAGTCGCCGGCGCGGGACAGGAGCTCCCCGCACCCCGGACCTCCCGGCCCCCGCCGCCCGCCGGGTCACCTGTAATTGTAGGCGCTGAAATGCTTGCTCTCTCTCAGCATCGCCCGGTACAGATCTAACACTTGTGCGCGGCTGGAGGCTGCCATTTTGGAAGGAAAAAAAAATAATAATAAATGGGTCCTCTTCGAGAAGGTCCCGAGTTTAACCTACCCCACGAAACTTCAGTCTATGCAAAACCACGAACGAAATAAAATAAAATGCCGTGGGGCTCGGTCTTGCTAGCCGGCCGGGCCTACGCCTGGGTGAGGACCGGCCCGCGCCTGCGGGCGCTGGGCGTCGCGCGCCGCTTCGGAGGCGGGCGCAGGCGGGCTCCGGACAGCTTAAGGGGGAGGCGCCGACACGAAGGCGTTCCCGTCCTCCGCCCGCGCCTCGAGGCTCCGGCGCCTCGAGGCTTCGGCGTACAGCAGCCCTACCAGCGGGCTGAGGCGGGAGGGGGAACGGCCGCAGGGCAAGGGCTGAGCCTGTGGAGGGACGCCGGCCGGAGGCTGAAGCACTGCGTGCGCGCAGCCCGTCTAGGAGCGCCTTCGCGAACGGCCCGAGGCGGGAACATGTAGCGTTACGCCGCAGCGCCTAGTCGCACCTCCGCGAGGCCCGAGGCCGCGTTGCCAGGGTTACCGAGCGCGCCGCCGGTCGACGCTCCGCCCCCGGCCGCAGATGACCCGCCCCTTGCGCCAGGGCCGCCCTCCGCGCTGCCTGAGAGGCCGAGCCGGGTTTCCAGGGGGCCTTTACTTTACCGCGCTCTGTCTGTGGGCCCCCAGTGCAGGGCGCTTTCTGAGCGCAGGGACGGGACGCGGGGGGCGCAGAGGCGATGGGTGAGGGACTCCCTGGTGCTCTGGCTCCGCCCGGGGCGACCGGCTAAGGGCCTCGGGAGCAAGGACCCCTTTCTTGTCAAAATGGCAGCGCCCGGCGTGCTGTGGGGGTATCTTTAAGGTAGGGGGTGCGGCAGGTAAGAGCCTTCCCAGGAGAGTAGGCAGCGTGCCGCGCCTCAGATTTGAAACACCCGGGTTTGGGTCTCCTGGGCGAGCGGTGGGTAAGTGCCGGCCTCGCTGCAGCGTGGGGTGCGACGTGGGCGGTCCGTGCTGGTGGTGGGGAGTTACTTGGCCACGGGATTGCCCCTCTTTCGGGTGTTCTTTGAGCTCTCGAGGTTTTACTTTGAGTATTCAGACCCAGAGTCTTGTCATCTAATGTATACAAAAGGTGGGGTGGCGTGGGTAATTAATTGGGAAAACCTCGGGGATTTAAGGACTCTGTTGGGCTATTTCAGACGCAAAGCAAGAAGTTAAGCAAGTTTTCTCTTGAAGATCTTCATGGCTAAGTTTTCTCTTTTGGTCTTTCTCTGAAGACGTCAGCTTTTCAGGATCACCTTGTTACGGTGGTGAATAAAGTTGGTCGTTGTGGTCCCTGAGCGTAGGACTGGGCGTAGAGAAGCCTGAGCTAGTTCTCCTTACTGTGTTTGCAAAGCATCTGTCTTGTTTTGGGACTTTTTCTGTCTATAGTCAACTTTAGGAAGAGCCACAGTTTTCTTGCTCAAAACAGAGCTAGGAGTAACTTTAGACGTAAAAAACAAGTTTGCCTCAACATCCGTTTTTCTTCAACCACTGAGTTGTGGTTGTATTTCATATCTTTAAGTTTACCTGGTTTTAAAATGGCACTTGCTTTATATCAAAATCTCGTATTTTCTGGAACTTTAGAGGCAGGAAACACTTTTCTGATCTTACTGCACTTTAGTGTACTTGCAACGTGGTGTCCTTGCACCCAGATATATTGTTAATACTACTCGTTATAATGCAATAGCATTTTAAAAAAACGCATGGGAGAGAACATTTTTTTTTTTTAAGTAAGATTTTATTTATTTATTTGGAGAAAGCGAGAGCGAGCGAGATCACAGAGGGAGAAAGAAGCAGACTCGCTGCTGAGCGGAGAGCCCCACTCCCGGCTGGAACCCAGGGTCCGGAGATCATACCTGAGCTGAAGGCAGACGCTTAACCCACTGAGCCACCCAGGCCCCCCAAGAGAACATACTTTCATTAAAATCTTTTAAAAAGATTTTTAAATCTTTTTTTTTTTTTTTTAAGCTCTCCCACATCTATGAGCATCAAAATAGTTTTCTACAGGGTATCTGAACTTCTGTCACTCTTGCAGGTTGATCAGGTCATTGGGCAAGTCTTACCTCAGGATTATTGAAAGAGATTTTAATATTTTGAGTTTTCCTTGGCATTAAAGGTTCAAGACCAAGGGAATTGCACATTATTACAGAGTAAGATTTAGAGCCATTTTCTCTTAATATTTTATGAGTGCTAATGATATAAAATGCGGCACCTGGGAAAACTACAGTATTCATGCAAGTTAAAAATAAAGAAAGCTATCAAGGTAAAAGAAAAAAACATGAAAGTTACATTGGCTTGTTTAAAAAGTGGGGTGCCTGGCTGGCTCCGTCATAGAGCATGCAACTCTTGATCTCAGGTTGGTGAATTCTAGATCTCAGGTTGGCTGTAGGGATTACTTAAATAAATAAACTTAAAAAAAATAAAAATAGTAGGACTTGCATTATTATATTTTGCTATCATCTACAAAATGAAGTTGGAGTAATTATTACTGTATACAATTGTTTATGTCTAATTATCGGGCAATTTAATCATTAATGTATATAATTAATGTATCTAAATGACCTTAACTTTGTTATAATCAAATAAAGCTTTTCAAATAAATATATAAAGTTTAGTTTGTTTGGGTAGCCTAGTCATCTGTTAGTACAAAGAATAGTTGAGATTAGGAAAGTGATAGCGTCCCAGTAGATTCTAAGATAAGTCCTCACAAAAATACTTTTATTGTATTTAAAATAATATACCATAATCTTGGATATCATTGCCTTGAACAACTAATAAAAAAAAAAACTACATCCCAAAGCTAAATCTCTATTTTTGTACATCTTTATTGCAGAGATGACTGTTTTCAATAATAGCTCTATCTGAGGTTGAAACTGGAATTGGGCCAGTACCTGAGGATTACTTACTTACTTATATGTCCTTTAATGTGCATCTGTTCTGAGCTGACTATAAGCTAGCGGTACCCACCTACTACCATCTTGGCCTCAAAATGTAAAAATTGCCTTAGTATTCACCTATCCATAGTTAAGAAATACTAATAGTTCTTTACCTATGTAAAACCTTGTATTAAAATTAGGATTGCTGGATTGCTAATGAGCACTTAATGCTTTTTGAAGAGAAATTTCTCCAAACATAATAAGTAATAGGACAGAAGTATACTGTCTTAGGCTTAAATATTAAAATGATGTGTAAAGAAAATTTTGTATAAATGAGCAACTTGTGACATTATGATTTAGAAATTATTCCACTCCAAACATGGATCTAAATCTTTATGTAATTGTCATTTGTTTTTATTGATCCTTCATTCTAATAGAATATGAAGCTGGAAGAGACCTTGGATATCAATTCCTTTTTATAGATGAACAGACTGAATTTGAACTGAGTATGAACAGACTCATTCATTCATTTATTCAGCATTTATTGAACACTTCCTAAGTGCCATATATTATCCAAGATGATGGAGTTACCATGAAGAGAATCTTTCTCCCCAGAAATGGACAGGGAACTCGATAAGCAAAGTATTAATTTGTTTTGACAGGTGCTATGATGGGGTAATATTACCAAGTGTCGGGGGAGTACAGAAGAGGGCCATTCGACTAGGACTTTGACCTAAGGAAAGACTTTCCATCATAGAAGGTGTTTACACAATGAGCTAGTAACAGCCAGATAAAGAATGTGGTAAGAGCTTGTAGTGTATATTCAAAGCAGGAGGCATGAGGGACCATGACCCATTCAGGAAACTCTGGGAGAGGGGATGGGAGGGACCGTCTGTGAAACCAGACGTGATTAGCCCGTACCTGATTTATTACGATGATGTTTCGTCTGTTTTGTGGATAAATTATTTTTTTGACGTTGGCTAGTTCACCCAAGTAGAACTTAACATCTGAACTATTGAAATATAGGTTGGTTTTTCAGGTGTTGGTTGGCTTTTGTTTTAAACCGTATTTTTGATCCTGTATTCTAGGAGTACTGAAATTCTGTTTACCTCTGCATTTAACAAGGGATAGTTGATCAGCCTGGTAGTTCAAGCCACTGTTCTTGTGGATATTTGAGGGCTATAAATCAAATACTGATCCCTTTTTCCAAAAGTTTACAGTTTAAATACAATCTGTATGTAATTAAGATAGTACAAAGTGCTGCAGGGGAAGTACTGGGGAAGCGCTGTGGGGTCTCAGCATGAGCAGTCACTTCCATGGGTGGTGCCTGGGCCACACCTCAGATGGACAAAGTGAACATGGCTGATGCCCAGGCTTTAGGAAAAAAAAATTTTTTTTTTTTAAATTACCCAGGAGATTGGTCGCAGCCTGGTAGAGAAACATTGACCTGTGGGAATTAGGGGGCTTTTTGGAGGAGGTAGTGTTCATGTTGGACTTGAGAGAATTTAGGTTTGAGCTGGGCCTTGAAAGGAATTACAGTATTTGGATGTGTGGGTGCGGTAGTAAGATGGTTACTGCAGGATGAAGGTTTACCCTTAGAAAGGGTAAAGGAGAGAGTGAGTGAGGTTTAGGGAAAGGTGATCACCGCCTATGGAACACTGAGGGAGGGCCTTTTGAGGGAGGGAGTAGGAGAATGCTTGAAGGTGAGTGCAGGAGATGCAGCTGGAAAGGCCATCAGGGTGGATACCAGCTGAGTCCTTGTAGGATCTCAGTTAATCCTTTGGAGACCCACTGGGAAGGAAAGCTGTTAACTGCATTTCAGGACAGGGAAGCTGAGAGGTTAGATTATTGAGCTGCAGTTAAGCAGCTAGGAAGCGGGGAGGGTGGGCATTGGTCCAAGATGTGATCTGTCTAGCCATGATGCTACACTGTCTCACAGACGGTCTACAGTGAAAGCTTTAGGAGTTGGAAATGTATTAATTTTTCTTGGATAATATGGGTAAATTTCAGACATATTTGAATTTTAATTTAGTTGGATATTCACTTATTTGTAAAAGCTAACTGGTTAGCTCCTAACAAATATTCAGAAAATCTCAAATGTTGATTTTTATACTACCTTTTTAGTCTTTTAAGATAAAGTTACATTTTTTTTCTTTTACCATGTCTTAGAAAAGACTTAAATCGAATACCTTTTTTAGGTTGTCTGTTCAAGTGTGCCACAGACATTACCTCATGAGGGATTTTTGAGACTCACCTTTCTGTAGAAGAAGCTCTTTTCAAATATACCTAAGAAAATCTGTTCTCTGAAAGTTAGAAAGCAGCTAGACAGTCTAACTTCATTGATTGGAGGCTCAGGGTTTCCCTGCTTGTGGGCAGCATAGGTAAAACTGACAATCGATTTTGTGTGAAGTGTATCAAATGTCACTTCTAGAGAATTTTTTTTTTTTAACAAATTCTTTGCCTTCTAGAGGAAAGAAACCATCTTTTCCTAATACAAGCCACCACCAACGTGGGAATTATTTTCCAGTGTCATTTATGGCAGTATTCTGCTACAGATCACCTTCATTCTTTTTCCTGCTAGTTATGAGGGATAACTTGAGGGAAT